AAAAGAAAGAAAGAAAGGTACGCCGGGAAGCAAAGAAAGCCAAAAGCTTTTTATGGAGAATTTCCTCGGAAATACTCTTCAATTCAATAAAATTGTCATGAGCCATAAGAAGAGAATTTCTGTCATGGACTAGGAAGGACCAGAGCCTGGATGCAGATGAGATAGTCATCTGAGTAGAACGGATGTGACACTGGACAGAAACCTTAGAACGGAAGACTATTTTCATGTAAGCCCAAAGCCAAAAGATGAAGTGAGGTGGCCAGGGGGCTTGCTCAGGATTCCATAGGTGAGAGAATGACCATTTACCCACACCCCCATGACAACCCTTCAGGACCAGGCATTTGATGGATTTGATGGATACAGGAAACATTTGGAGACATTTAGCCCAGGTTGAGAAAGCTGGCCGGTAAACCGGCTATTTGGCAGCCATTTTCTCATGGGTATATGGATCCTCAAGGTTTCTTCCTATGTTGATACAGTGTTATAAGTGAAGATATACTGAGAGAATTCTATGCAAAGTAAAACATATCCACCTTTCAATGTAAACTTTGGGGTCACAGTGTGGTGGAGAACATCTGAAATTCCAGCAGAGCAGCTGTGATGGGAAGATTGTGAGGACCTAAGCCAGTCTGGGTCACACAGCAACTGCAAGTCCAGCCAGGGATACAGAGTGAAATTCTGCCTCCACCAAAAGTCAAGATCAATACATTAAGATAGATAGGCACTTTGAGATTGGAAACTGACCCAAGAATAAAGATATACCAAAGGAAGTTACTGGGTTAAAAGCAAAACAAACAAACAAACAAAAAAAAAAAATTGCAAGTTAGTAATCTGTCAACATTTCTTCCTACTTCCCAGTGTCTTAGATGCATAAGTCCATTATCTCTTGCTTCTTCAATCCTATCCTCTGTCCTCTCCCCCTCCCCATTCTCCTTCTCCTCCTGTCTTCTCTTGCTTCTTCATTGCCATCCTCTCCTCTTCATTCTCTTTCTCCTCCTGCCTTTGAGGAGCAGGTTTTATTAGACCGCCGTGTCATAGAGTCTGAGTATGACTTCCACCCAGAGGAAGAACTCTTGCACCCTACGTCCATGCGAAGGGACTCGGCCACCAGAGCGCTGGTCCAAGTGCTGTCATCACACCTCTCACTAGTCACAGTCACGCACGGTATCTGGACATTCTCGGCGGCGCAGGCAATGCTCTTTGCTGCTGTTGCTGAAGCAGCTGCTCATTATGCTGACAGATTCTCAAAGTCCTGTTAGGATTTGTCTATTCTGTTTCCTGAAATCAGCTCAGATAGGAGTAGGAGGACAGATGATTTCATAAACCTAAACAAAAATGAAAAGCACACTTTGAGAAGTGTGCTCATTTCAAATAAAAGTTGACTTGAGTTTTTGTATTTAATTAGCACTTACTGACAATGCAACCTTTTCATTTCTTTAGCAGTATTTTTCTTTAAGTACATCTTTTGTCCCACGCTGACTAACAACGTTACTTCAAAGATCAGAAAAACCACATGGACAATGCAAGTAGAAAAGATAGACACAATAGGTAAAGATGGTGAGCCAGTGGACCTACATAATAAGTAAATATGAATCTGCTCACTGCCAATTTGTAGCACTATGTGATAGTTTATAGTAATAATTATGATCATTTAACTGGAATACAGTAGCTCACATAAACAACTGCAATGAAAAAGAAGAGAAAGTGTGATTTAAAGAAAACAATGCGTAACACAAACAAGACAAGAGCATAGACATAAGAGCAAGGCCACTTTTGCACTGCATCTGTGGCTCACCCACTGTGGACTAGGAGACAAAAAGATTAAAACATTTACACAAAGGCAGTTAGACAACAAGATCAGAAAGCAATGTGATAGCATGATGGAGGCACTGTGAGGGTGGCTTAGAAAAGCTTGTCTTCACAAATAATAAGTTTAACTCATTCAGTGATCAATATTTGATCAAAGTACAGAATGGACCAGCCCATCCAAAATGTCATTGGCCCTATCAAATACAGAGAGGTGATGTTTTAATAATATTTTATCAAGTCTGAAGCATTGGGGTTTTATAAAGGGCATACATGATTTTGTATCTTTTAAACAGACATCTTAAATCAAGACCATATTGTTTTAAATGCTACTTCCACAGGACAGTAATAATAATGTCATAGTGATAATATTTGTGAGCACATTTGAAAAGTGCTCAGAAAGCATGACTTAGTTTGTCTTTCTTCATGCAAGGGGATATTTTCTTATTTTAAACACCAGTGCTTCCCTTTGCTTATACTCCAGCCCTGTGGCTATGACAGAATAGAATGTACACAGTGTACACAACTCTCACTCTCCAAGAAAAATAAGCTCCGGATGCCCACATTCTAAGCTTTACTTCACAAAGATGAAGCTAGACAGATTACTATGTATGTATGTATATACATGTATAAATTTATGGATATTGATATACAATATATATTTATAAACACTGTAAGTAATCAAAGAAGCAAAAAATCAGTCTATACACTCGGGGTTCTGAAGAAATGTAGCTGAGTAACTTGGTCAGTCCCAAGCAATGACCAGAGGCCGTCATTCTCAGTTTGAACCGATAGAAAGAGTTCTTACATCCCTAATTAATCAGACTCTCACATATTTTTCATTCTCAAATAATCAGAAAACCTCAAAAGGGAAAAATACCATCACATATTACATTGTTACACTAAAAAATTGATAGTTTGTCTCACATTTATTTTGTTTAGAGGGGGCAAGATTTAATCCATCTATATCATTCTTTTTGTTTATTTAGGTGTTCGAATTGAGAATTGCCTGACTGTGTAGCCCAGGTTGGCCCCAGATTCATGATTCTCCTGCTTCAGGCTCTCTGAGTGTTGGGATTATAGGTGTGCACTCCCAAGCCTGTTTCACTTCCGGTCTTGAGAGGCAGATTTTCTCACTCATATTGATTAACTGTGGGAACACTCCTTGAACCACACGGCAGACATCCATCCTTCTCCTCACTGGTGTCTGCTAATGTGAATGATAAATGAAGCATGTTTTGTAAGAAAAGACAGATTAAATTTCATCATCACCCTCCTTTCTGGCTTCATCACATCTTCTCATCTTTTGGGGTATTTCTCAACCTCATGCCTTGGTTTATTGGGCTACAGTCCTTATTGACTGTAGTGAATAAATTTCTAGAAGTCTACTTTCATCCTTTCTGGATCAAGGTTAGTTGAAAGAAAATTTATTAAATAAAGGATTTAATGACTCAAAAAAATAACAAATCATCCATAGTTGTATTCTAGGAAGTGTAGTGAGGGAGTGACCAGCAGGCTCAGTCTCCCACACCTGAAAGCTGTATGTGTTCAATTATAATAAACATTTAAAAGCAAAACCTCGTTGTACAATTAAAAACAAAAAGCTTTAAAGCTCATACACTCTGAATCTCTCTTGCAATATATTTACAGAGCTTATAAAACCCTGGTGATTCTCTCCCCTAACCAACAGCCTGCTGTAGGCATGGGGCCAGCAGAGCAGAGAAACCGCCCAGAAAACTCGACTCTCTCCAACAGTTGCTCAGCTAACACATAAGGAAAATAACCTAATTACTGGACAGCAGGAACAAGAAAATAAAAAGTATGGAAGGGCAGAGAAGCATTAAACACAAACACACAAAACTGTCTTTGCTGTGAGAAAGAAGCCAACCTAGATCCTGAGGGTAGCCATTCAAAACAGCCTTGCTGTTTGCGGAGCATATGAGAAGAGCCAAGGACCAGAAAAACGACTAATTTTAATTACCAGGAAAGCTGTAAGACCGAGAGCAGAGAGCTCCGGTAGTATCTGGCTTCCAGCTACCGTCTCTGCGCGCCTTGCCAATTACAGCCTTTCTTAGCCCACAGGGGCCAAAGCCGTGCGCAGAGGATCCATCACCCTGAACGCAGGCTTGGGCTGGACTCATACACGTGTGAACAGCGTGTACCTCTTGGTACAGATGCAGCCCATGGCTCACGCAGAGTTCTGAGTGTAGACAGGCTGGCAGAGAAGAGAGTGTGTGTGTGTGTGTGTGGTTTCCAGCCTTGTCACGTACAGGTGCAAGCCACATGGAGTGGAGGCAAAATATATGTAACAGAATTTATTTCATAAATACTCAATTACCACCAGACACATGAAACTGGAGCACTCAAAGACAGGGAAAGTCCAGAAATCGGCAGATCAATGACATTAAAGCTGCCACCTCGGATTTACAACCTGAGCTATTTTTCCGAATATGAGCATTGTGATAGAAAATTTCAGGAAACAAAACAAATAAACAAACAAGAAGCTAAATCTGCTATTTCTTTGACTGTTCCAGAACTGACTTTAAACCACCACCACCACCACCCCATCATCAAGGACAAGTAGTAATATAGCCCCAAGCCCATCGTGGTTAGATCGAATTCACATACATACACAAAAGAGAATTGCCTCCCAGTTAGAACCTAACCACACTCTCTCAAGTGCCAGCTCCCCTCTGGAGCCCGCACAAGTGTGCGCCTGGGTCTGAGCCTTCGCTGCTGCTGTCTGAGCTATCAGCACAGCCTGGCTATCAGCAGGGACAGCGGCAGGACAAGGGAGAAAAGGACCCAGAGTCTGACAGCTCCAGGGCATCCTACAGGCAGCACGTTCGCTGTCACTGGTGAACGTGAAGCTTCCAGAGGCAGCCAGGTAGGGGTAAACAGCCTTCCCGACTTTGGAGAGAAGGTGTGAGGGGGCGGGGGACGGTACTGGTTGGCCAGTGATGCAAGTGGAGTACCATGTGAAAAAGAAAGAAATCCAAAGCCCTGCTTGAGGCACACAGTCTTTTACAGGCGGGGACATGCTAAATGAGCCTTTGCAGCGCGAGGCAGCGAGGCGCCTGGCGACGGTGACAGCGCGGAGCGGGAGGGGCGCGGGCCGCTCCTGGAGGGACCCAGCCAGTCAGGGCGCGCGGCGCGGGGCGCGTGGACGCATTGGAGCATTCGCGCGAGCCCGGAGCAGCAGCGGGAGGAGGCGCCCACCTGCACCTGCCTGCATCTCCCAACTCCTCCGCCCCGTGCAACTGCCGGCAGCCAAGTGCCATTAAAGCCGGCGGCCAGGAGGATGCCTCACCTGGGTCCCCTCTGCTGGGAGAGGCAGGGCAAGCCTGAGGAGAATTCCCAGTGAAGGACTCAGAACTCTGCGATTTCTCTTCTGCCACAGGCTGAGAAGCATCCAAGGAACTGCTCCACCTGAGCTGCGCCCAGGGCAGGAGGATGGGAGACCGGGATTGAGAGGACCCGAAATGGACAGAGGCAGCTGGGATCTCATTGGTAAGTGGCTGGCATTCCTTCGCTGGTGACTGCTCCCTGTGATGGTGCACTTCGGCTCCCAGCCACTTAGGGTTTTTGACACAGTCGCTTCTGCAAAGCCATCCTTCCTTGCTGTTGCCAGAGGTAAAAACTGTCCAATGATGCTTGTTTAAAGATGGGAAAACAGTATTTTTCTCTGCTGGGATTTTATATTGAAAAGTTGAAGCAAGTATAGAATCTATTTGTGTATCTCATAAGGCCGCCCGAAACAAGAGGAAAAATAGGAGCAAGTAAATTTAGGGATGGCACATGCCGGGATGGGTAAGAATGATTTTCACTAAAGCAATACAATGTTTAAGGAAGAAAAGGAAATAGAATGAGGTTCTCAGGTCATGGCTGAGCATCTCATAGACGGAACCATCTAAGAATAGAGACTAAATATAGCGGTGCTATAACTTGTTAAAATTCAGTAAAGATGCAAGGAGAGTTCTGTAAAGTTTGGGGAACTCAAAAAAGCAGTGCCTTGAATTATGCGGAGTTATTTTCCCCTGCATGCTGTGCATAGATGTGTTTGCTGAATACGTGCTCTCGAATTCTTATTTTTATAGGAAAGCAGGGAGAGAATATTAGTTTGAATATCTATGACTGTGATTTTCAGTGAGCTGAGGATTGCTATGACAACCTAAAAATTTTAGGTGGATTAAATTTTTTTTGTTCCAAAAAAGAATATGAATCCACTAATATTTCAGAATAATTTTATGTAAACTTAGCACGAGTAAGAAAATTTAGTGTGATAATCTTAGAGCAGGCTTGGAAGAGAACTTTCATAATGTTCTGTGTGTAAGGCTTTCCCCATTTTCAGTTCATATGCTTTTTTTTTGAAAAGAAGTCACTAGGTAACTCAGCTCTCTGCTCTGATTCTGAGTCTTAGCCATGAGAGAGAAGAATGAAAGTAGTACCAAACCTTAACATAGCAGTATCATAAAAGTGAAACATGAGTTAAGCTAACAAACTGTTGTAAATGTAATCGGTTGCTATTGGGCTGCAGCACACCTCCTGAATTACCTCTAAATGTCACAGCGGCTACAAGGACTGCATCCTGACTAATACCTAGACTAAACTGGGGCTAAGACATGAAGAAATGCTTACAAAGTGTCAGTGGCCAGTGACAAGCAGCTCACCTATGGTTCTTCCCATAATTTCTCATTTAATGCTGAAAGTATTTTAAGATCTTCAGAGGCACAAGCCCCAAGTCTTAAGCCTGGCAGGCATGCTTACACTGATCAGATGATAAGCACATACTAAATGATTATATCAGAATAGATTTTAAAAAGCGATTGAAATTATGAATATATAGTGTTAAAAAAAGTTCATTGAATCTAATTAATTGTAGATATAACACATTTCAGAGTAAAAATTTAAAACAATATATGTAAATAGAAAGAAGACTTTTTGAACTATCTCAGCTGGAATGCCAGATGATATTGAGAGATGTTGCATCACCAGCAGAGTGTTTAATATAAAGGTTAAGGTTTGGAGGTAAGGGTCATTAACATTACCTAAAACTTCTGAAAACTAACAGAGGAAAAAAAACAGTTTTTAGACTTCTCTCTGATTACATATGCAACTAAAAAGAAAGAATATGTAAAAGTTAAAAAAAGTGAAAATTATTAGGATGATAAATGGAATGCTAGACTGTGGCTGTGAGTCGGGAGTTTCAATGCCCGTAGGAAGCTTTGGGGAAGGTATCTGGAAAGAGTTGTGGAATTTTTAAATGGATGACTGATACGCTTGAACATTTCTCAAGATTTGTAAAATGACTTTGACCATTAGGGGGCCTGAAACCTAGTAGTTATTACTACCCAGTAAGGGAGGAAAACTTAATTTTTAAGTTTTACGAATAGAACCTGTTTATTTATTAAACGTTATAAATCAGTTGTGAAAGAAAATATATTTAAACTCATACTTGAATCAAAGCCTGAAAGCTGTAGTTCATTTGCAGATATCCATGTCTTTAAGTATCTTTTTATTTGACCATTTGTGAAGCCTGCACTCCCTTAAAGGCAGCAGGTGAGAGTGTGCTTTGCTGGCCACGCTGACTTAGCAATCAGGACCAGAGGGTGTCAGTGAAGGGCAGAGTGCTTGCCAGAATCAGACATCAAGTGGGTGCTGTGCTGGCAAAGGTATCCTGGACTTTTCTTTACTTGTAGATACAACAAAAGATACATCTTTGTAAAGATTACAATGAAATTGCAACAAGTTGTTTACATATGATATTGTGAAGATGACTTTGATATATAGAAGTCAGGAATGCTGAACACATTTTATAAGAGACATAAAGCCATGTCATCAAAAATTCTGTTCTAAAATTTTAACAAAGCTGAGATATTTGAATGATTGCAATTTATTTCATCCACACATCACACATACTTGGCTACATATTATTTTTAATCACCTGTGAAATATATTTTGATACTGTTACTTGAAGATTGACAGTTGACTTTCCCGAAAAGACATATGCATTTATGTGTTTAGACTCTCTAATTCTGGCATCAAAGGCTTATGTATATGCCTGTGTGCAGTAAGCCAGTTCTGTGTTCTAAGATGATATTTTCCAGACGAGTGTTAAGGATATGCTAAGATGTTCCATGAACTTTTCAGCACTCTAGAGCAGAAGGGAAGCTGGTTGGAAACTAAGAGCTGTCACATCCCTGCAGGTCTGTTTCCTGAACCCTTGTGATTGATAACTCCACACTAGAGGCTGTTTCACTCTAAAACGTAATGAAGTTAATAAAACTCTTTAACAGTTAAATTTGGATTATGAACTTTTCTAATCTCCCTGCTGTTTCAGAGTATTGAATATGCCTATGTATGTGATTAGTAGGTTATGATAAATAGGATTTATTATTTTTTCAATTAGTCTGAAACTTAATTTTTTAATAAATGACTTCTATTAAAAGTCAATAAAATAAATTATACTGTTTCAGTGCAATGGCTATTAGGATAATTTTAAATGGCTTTAGTTGACATAGACTCACCCTTTAAAACACTGCGGATTACAATTAATTAATCAAAATTATGTTTCCTGAGTTAAAGTCATTGAACTTGCTTTTCCAAAACTATTTATAAAATTTACATTGTTTTACACACTAATTTATTTTTGCCTAACTTAAATGTAGGTGACGTTTGCCACTATTGATCCCATAACTTAAAATGCAAAATTTTTGAGCATGTACTCTGAAGCATTATGTAGCCTCTGTCTGCCGGCGAAGCCCCTTCTGCACTGTTCAGAAAGCCGAGCATCTGGCCAAAGAACAGGAGCTCCTCTCTCCTCCACTGCAGGCAGTGACACTCTTTAAAGTCTAGGAGACAGTGGTGTGGGTGTGTCATCCGTCACCACCTTTATCATTTGAAGCCTTTGTCTTCTTTAGTATGTTTCTTAATCTGAGAGCTTCCATCACTGCCATGTTTTAAACAGTTCCAAATAGAGGTTCACTGGGTAACATTGAGTACATAGTTATGAAGCCAATTTTCCCCATGATTTTAAAATCAGTAATTCCTTCAATTCATAATGACCTAAAGGAAGGACCCAGCAGTCTGGGTTACCATTTTTCAAATTTGTCAATAGACTTCTGTTAATAAATTGACAACATCCTATGGTCCATGGCTGCCAGCTGTAGTTCCAAGGAGTCCACAACTCAGGATGTTCAAACTACAGAGTTTAGGTCTTTTTAGAAGTGCAGCGGCCAGTTCATGTGAGTGTGTGTGTTTATACTAACACAGATTAGTAATCCCTGTGCATGTTAGAAAGTGTGAGCCTGCTTCTGTCTCCATCATGATGAGAACTGTGAAGTTTATCTGAGTTATAGGTAGCTTGACTTGGGGCCAGGATGACGATGAAAGGGATAAATTATCTGAACCATCAAAAGGTTTCTTTACCGTTAGATATAAAAGTCTTATTAGATATACAAACATGACAGGAGAGTAAGAATCCTCTGGTCTTATTATCTCTGTAGATGTTTTCTTCCACTCCCATCCCATAGTAACTTCAGCACAGAAGGTTTAAGAAGAGAAATCCTGCTAATTACGTTGGTGGTCAAGGTGGAACAAAACATTACTACTGTGATATTCATAATATTAGTAGAAATATTCAGTAGGAGTTAAAACAGCAGATATGTTTTCTTGACAAGATCTAGAAATACCTCCTCATCTTGCCAAATGTCCCTAATCACACCCATTTTGTACATGTTGTCACTGATGTTGATAGGAACTAAGTGATAAATGGGCAATTTCATGAGAAATTTACTTTCCAATTTATCAAATTTCATCTGCAGCTTTGCATATATTGAATGTCACATTAACAAGTTTCCTTGTTAAAAGACATTCTTCTTTAAACCAAATATAAACATAACAGTAGGAGAGTGTCGGGGACCGGTTTGAACTCTACCAGGATCTCCCATGGGGTTTTCTACAAGAATTCCATTTCAATGATGCAGTATTTGCTGAGGTGCTATTGTACCTCAGACTTCGACATTACTGAATTATGCACAAACTTCTTGGTAGTTAAAATTAATATTAATGAGGAGGCATATTGGGTGGTGACAGCAATTTTAAAACTAATCCTTATATTGCTGGGAAATCATTTTTGTTTAGGTAACATTTCATCTTCATGAAATGTTACATGGTTCATTGGGCCACTGAACTGATTTAAGTGTCCTGAGCTATCTCTGAAAACGTATAAAACATTCCGTGTTTAAATCAGACAGGTTTGCCTTTTGAATTATTTAACTATTTTGGAATATAACTCTTCAAATTTTTTACCAAATTAGCTTTACTATATCTCCTATGATCCTACAAAATATGAAATAATTTGTTAGTGATCATTTTATTTTATATTAATGTTTTCAGCAAGAATTACTCTGGGTTATAGCCTTATAAGGGATCTGGAGGCTTCATGCCAAGACAGTCTCTTTTAAACTATTCTTAGGCTTACATCACTGGTGCTGCTGTAATGACAGAGG